AGGGTTTTGGAGTTACTGCTTCCCAAGCACAGCAATCCTCATTCATCCTCTTGTTTTCTACCTTATCCCATAGACATCTCCTGAGCAACTTCACTCACCAGACTTCCCGCAAACACCATCCACCTGCCTTGACCTGCAAAGAACGTGGAATCCTTGGATCTGCCATTCAACACATTTCAGATCCATTTTATGTCCTGAAGGTACTTATATTTGTTTTTGCTTTAAAGATTTATTTATTTATTTATTTATTTATTTATTTATTTATTTGACAGGCAGAGTTAGAGAAAGAGAGAGAGAGAGAGACTGATCTTTCATCCACTGATTCTCTCCCCAGATGGCTGTAATAGCCAGGTCTGAGTCAGGCTGAAGCCAGGAGCCAGGAGTTTGTCCCTGGTCTCCCACATGGGTACAGGGGCCCAAGCACTTGGGCCATGTTCCACTGCTTTCCCAGGCACATTAGTAGGGAGCTGGATTGGAGGTGGAGCAGCTGGGACTCGAACTGGAGCCACAGCACTGACCTCGATTTTTTTTTTCTCATTAATTAATCAGTATGAAACAACAGAAGTAGTTTTGTAAGGAAGTTTTGTCCTTCTACTACTTGCAGAAGAAATTAGGTACAAATCACCTAGTGTTCAACTGGCCAAACTCTTCAATTCATAACTCCCTTTCTCTCATCCCGTTCTCTCCTCTCCAGTATGTTACCTAGGAAAATGACTATGGTCAATCTTTGGGTAACTGGGGAAACAAGTTACCCAAACCAACATTTTAAGAAAGCATCTTTCTCAATATTGACTCCCAGTAATAAACAATAAATAATATCCTCTCATTGAGTGCTTATGTTCCCAGGCAGCAAGTAAGCATGTTGCATACCTGATCTTATCTATAGCCTGCAAGTAAATGCTCGGAGGGTTGTGTTTGCCCCATGTCACAGGTGAGGGAAGTTTGCACAAGAGTTCCACAGCAGGCATTCCATACCAGGCTGTGTCAGACGTCTCTGGCTCCGGAGCCTGCAGCCTCAACCACGGTGCTCCTGCCTTCTGTAGGTCCTCTGGTTTACTTCCTTTCCTCCCATCTGTGTGACCCTGAAGCTGGAAGAAAGGCTACAGGCTGGGCTGACCTCCTAGAAATCCTGTTCCCTCCTCTCCTGATCCCCACATTTACCACCTGCTTGGGGGATTCTGCCTACAACAAGCTCATGATCCTAGCTTGTGTGCGCGTCTCTCCTGCCTGAAGTTTTTAATTCTCCCCAATAGTGGAAGGACGGGATTAATCTGATGCACATGAAGAGAAAACGAGGAGTTACTATCAAGATTAAAGTAAACCTCGGCACACTTTGGACAGCATGTAGGCACAGTACTCAGCACTGTGAGAAGATCAGACACAAGCTATGGCCTCATGGAATTTACAATCTGATGGGGAGAGGGAATGAGGATTAAGACTACATGCAAAAGTGATCATGCCAAACATGGCAAGTTCCATGAGAAGCGGGGTGGGGGTGGGGAGTGAAGCACTGTAGGGCTGGAGAGCAGGAGCCCTGGCATTTCCCTGGGGAAGCAGGATGAGCCTTCGGGGTGTAAGAGAGACAGACACACGGAGAAGGCTACAGAATTTACAGTGCCCAGTTCAACAGTGGAAATGTGGACTCCTTTATTCAAAAATGAATTTTAAGGCAGTGAAAACAGAGTATTAAACTAAGTGAGGGGCCCTTCTCAGGACAGCTGCAAGCCCAAGGGGGTGTCCTGCACTACACAAACCTCCCCAGTGTCTGCTTCCTCAGGGCCAAATCTCCCTCTCCCCCTTTCATGGCAGGCTCCTAGCATAGGCCCTGGTACCCAGATGAATTGGCGAAATGGCGGGAGACAGTACTGAACTGGCACCATTACACCTCATGATTCTGCAGGTTGCTCTCAGTGCTAGGACGACAGTTTGGAACACTTCTGGGCGGATTACTTGAATTGAGTCTTTTTTTTTTTTTTTTTTTTGATAGGCAGAGTGGACAGTGAGAGAGAGAGAGAGAAAGGTCTTCCTTTACCGTTGGTTTACCCCTCAATGGCCGCTGCAGCTGGCACACCGCACTGATCCGAAGCCAGGAGCCAGGTGCTTCTCCTGGTCTCCCACGCAGGTGCAGGGCCCACGTGCAGTTGCAGGGCCCATCCTCCACTGCATTCCCTGGCCACAGCAGAGATCTGGCCTGGAAGAGGAGCAACCAGGACAGAATCTGGCGCCCCGACCGGGACTAGAACCCGGTGTGCTGGCGCCGCAGACGGAGGATTAGCCTAGTCAGCCGCTGCACCGGCCCAACTTGAGTTGAGTCTTGAAGGATACTAGGATTTTCCTTTCTCATCCCATCCCTCCTCTCCTTCTGGTGTTTTTCCATGCTCTGCAAACCCTAATGGCAATGTTCTGCTTTGTAGTCACACAGACTGCTCGGGGCTCCTCAGGACAGTCTCCCACTCACACAGTGACCTTGACTACAGATTGTTTCTCCACGGATGGAGTCTGGTTTTTCATTTTAAAGTCGTTTGGTTTCATTGTCACTGAACAGTTTGATAAATAGTTATCAAGAGAAAAAAAATCAGGAAAAATATAAACATGATTACTCATAATCCCATAGGAAATAATTCCATAAAAATAATTCCAATGGAATTGTACAAAACTAATTTTCAACCTACTTTCCCATTCAGTGTTGTGTTAGGAGCATCGTTGTATATCAATGTCAGGACTACCTCTTCCTTTTTCATGGCTGTCTGGCATTTTGACAGATACCAATACATTTAAATTGAACGTTTGGGTTATTCTGAACTTTTTGTTAAGCAGTGTTGCCTTGAATTTGCTGGGTAGGCAGCTTAGTTTCTCTACCCTTTATTTTCCACCTCTGCGGGTAACTTTAGGGTAAAGTAGTATTTCCAGCGGGGGTTGTGCAGTGTGAGTTAATGCACGCAAAGCTCTCAGCACAAGCACAGCATGGTGCAACGCAGGCCAGCGTGCTCAGTGCATGTGAGCATGCCCAGAGAGAGCTGTCTGACCCAGGCCGTGGTGTAAGCAGTGGAGTCGGGGCAGTGCTCTTGAAAACCAGTAGGATGAGATTGGGAAGGGAAGACAGTGTCGTTCTCTAGGCTGAATATTTCTCTAGGGGATTCTTGTGTCTTGAGTAAGTTCATAGATAGAAGTTTTTTTTTTCTTTTTAAAAGATTTATTTATGGAGTTACACAGAGAGAAGAGAGGCAGAGGGAGGGAAAGAGAGAGAGAGAGAGAGAGAGGTCTTCCATCCGATGGTTCACTCCCCAGTTGGCCGCAACAGCCGGAGCTGCACCGATCCGAAGCCAGGAGCCAGGAGCCTCCTCTGGGTCTCCCACGTGGGTGCAGGGGCCCAAGGACTTGGCCCATCTTCTACTATTTTCCCAGGCCATAGCAGAGACCTGGATCAGAAGTGGAGCAGCCGGGTCTTGAACCGGCGCCCATATGGGATGCCGGTGCTTCAGGCCAGGGTGTTAACCTGCTGTGCCACAGCGCTGGCCCCAGAAGTTTTCTAATATTTTTCAAATTATGTACTTATTTTTATTTGAAAGACGAGGGTGGGAGAGAGAGAAGGAGGTCGGTCTTCCATTCACTGTGGGATTCACTCCCTGCATGCTGGCAACAGCAGAGTCTGGGAGCCTGGAACTCCATCTGGGTTTCCAAGTAGGTGGCAGGGACCCAAGTGCCTGAGCCAGCATCTGCTGCCTCCCAGGGAACACACTTGCAGGAAGCTGGAGTCAGAAGCAGAGCTGGGTCTTGAACCTAGGTCTCTGATGCGGGACATGGCTTCCCAAGCAGCATCTTAGCCCCTGCACAGTAGAGGACAGAAGGTACCCAGCAAAGACGCATCTCTCTTCCCTGATGTCCAAGAACCTCTGCAGATGAGTGTCCCATCAGCCCGTGCAGTCATCGGGGCCTGCCTGTCCTTAGCCATTAAGGACAGCCTCTTAACTGGGAGTCTGATCTGGCTGAAGATTCTAGCCAAAGGCAGCTTAGAAAAATCAGCTGTGCTCAGCCTAAGGGGGCGGCGGCTGTTCTACCTTCAGGAATGTTCTAGGGATGTGGGAAGCTGAGCACATGGAGAGCAAGTTCCAGACCAGTGACTTGCTGGCTCTGTGATCTTGCTCAATTTCCCCTCTCCGATTCCTTTTCTGCAACACCAAGGGGGAACTGGAGGAGGTCAGGAGGATGGTGTTCAGTGGTTCCCGCTGAACAAAATCTAACAATCACACCTTTCCCTCCACCCGCCACGTTCCCGTTACCTGGTTTTATTGTTTTCACTCTTAGATGATCTTGTTGATTCACTTGTTTGTGCCGCTCCCTCACTAAAGTGGAAGCATCGTGAGGGCTGGACGTCCCTTGTCCTTTCTTTCTGCAGTAACCCTGGAACCGGGCACACACCTGACATGCGATTCCTGAGCACGTGTGTGTTCCATGAGTGCGGTCTCCGAGCCTGCGTTCCAGTCCTGGTTGCGCCCACCGCAAGCTAGCTGCCCAAATGACGCCTCGGCTTTCCCGATTGAAAAATAGGGATTCCCAATAGGAAGGGTTGGAGGTGCTGAGGACCAGACAGGAAGCACTGAGCACGCTGGCTGCTATGGAGTACCACCGTGATAGCAGCAAGCCTTGTGTAGCAACCAGGGACGGATGGAAACCTTGGCCGTGTAAATTCTCACTACACCCTACAGTAGGAAATCGGTACGATCACACCATTTCACAGAAAAGCCAACCGCAGCACACGGGTTAACTAATACTATACGCTGTCTGGAGACGCTCAAAGATTCCTTCCAGGCACCCGGTGGGCGGCCCCTTGAAGCATCCCAAGGCCTCCGGCCCGACCAGGACAGAAAGGGTTACTGCGCCCGCGCGCGTTATCAGCGGGGACCCGCGGGCCCGCGCGCTGGGCTCACAATGCCGCGGGCGGGGCGGCCGGCGCGTCCTCCCCTCCCATTGGCGCACACACCCCTTCCTGTCACGGCCGGCTAGGCCACGCCCCCTGGGCGCTGCCGGAGTGGACGTTTCCAGAGATATGTTAATGAGGGGGCGGGCACCGCAGCCCATTGGCCGGAGGCGGACTGTCGGTGAAGTCAGCGCCGAGTCCCAGAAAAACAGAGCGGGGCCGACTGCAGCGTGTAGTGTGAGCGGGGCAGGACGCACGGGCCCGGAGACCCGCAAGGTAAGCCCGCGCCTGCCGCCCTGCCCGGCAGCGCTCGTCCGCCCCGCGGCGCCGGCGCCTGGGGGTGTGCGCCTGCCCAGCCCCTGCGGGCGGCGCCTTTGTTCCGCGCTCTGAGGAGGCACCTTTAAAGGGCCAGCTGTTGGAGGGACTTGGGGGACCTCCTTGCCCAGAGCATCCCCCCGGGTTGGTCGCGGGGGTAGCCGTGGTCCCCCGAGGCTCTGTCCGTTTGTGCTGCCTGCTCGCCGGATCCGCCCGCTTTTTTCAGGGAGAGTTCCCGGGGGGATCTGGGCGTTCCAGGTTTTGGGGGGTGGGGAGCGGGGCTAGCGCGATCATGGCCTCTGCTGGGAGGCAAGGTCCTCCTGCTTGGAGCGGGCTGCAGTGTGGGCGGGTGCAGGGGGCCTCGAAGCCCGGGTGGGTTTGTGCGGTGACATGAAACTGCCCGGCTGGGGCCCCTGCGCAACCGCGCGAGAAGGCGGAGGGGGCGGGCGGCGGGATGCGGGCGTCTCAGGTGTGTTCATTCATCCGCGTCCCCGTGGAGAGGCCGGCGCGCCGAGCGTGTCCGGGGCTCCGGAGACTCGGGGCCTGCGCTCCCGCCGGCTGACAGCCTTCTGCTGGGCTTCCCCGCGCCGGGGTGGGCTGGAGGCAACCTCCGCGCCCACCTCGCTGCCTCTCGACCTGGCTGCCGGGATCGGCGGTGGCCATTCACGATGGAAGGAGCAGGAGGCTTCAGGTCCTTTGCTTCCTTTGGTGGGGGGAGACGTGCAGTCGAATTCTGCATGCCGGTGCGTCCGCTTTGCCAGCCGCCGGCGCACGCCTGCTGCCTCCCGGCAGACAGAATGAATCACGCTGTTGTGTGGCTACAGAAGAGCAGAGGGGATCCCGGTGAGCGTGGCCCCGGCGTGTTCTGGGTGAGCCCTTGGATTTTGCGTAGCAAACACGGAGCGCTGGGATGCCCCTGTAGTCGCAGGGCCGACCTGCCGAAATGGCTCGAATCAATTTCGCCTCTCCCAGGGACATCATGGAACCTCCGCCTCCGCGCCCCGGGCCCCGGGCGCGCCTCGCCTCTCCGGAGTGAATGAAGGCTTAGCTGGCTCCTCTCCCCTTGCCGTTTGGGCTCCTCTACTTAGGTTCAGTTCTGCGTCTGTGTTGGGAACGTGGCTTGGGGGTGACTGAAAGAGAGAGGGGGCGACTTGAAGTAGGGTGGGCCGTAGAGGGGGCGCAGCCGCCGCCGCGGTGACAGGAAGCGCATGACGGACGCCCGGAGACTCCATATCTACTGCCCGTAGCGACGAGGAGGAGGTAGAGGCGGAGGGGGTGTGTGTGGGCTCTGCGGGGGGTGGGGTGGGGGTGGGGGTGGGGGAGCAATTTTCTGCCCCACCCTCTTGATGCTGCCTTAAATAGCTGATGTCTCCCTGTGGCCTGGGAAAGGAGGGAGGGGTTGGTCTGTTGGCACCTCTGCCCTGGGCACTGTTGGGGTAGATGGATAGGAAAGGGTTAGTTCTCCAGGGGTTGCTGGGAGCACATTTCTCAGCGGGAGGGTCCCAAGACTGCAGACCCGGGCTGCCGGGAATTAGCAACTGAAATGCAATGGGCCCTACCCTGTTGGGGTGTAGCCGTGGGAGGGTATTGTGGTCCTCCACCAACACCCACCCCTGCTGGCCCTTTCCCCCTTGACCTGCTCTTTGGTTGTAGTTGGAGAGTTTCTGCAAACTTTTCTGAAGATAATGGGATTATTGGGGGCTGAAGGGGGAGTAGGATTTATTGAGAAGGAGGAGCCAACACTTCTCACTGGCAAGACAAAGAGCTGTCCACTCTCCCTTCTCTTCCCCCTCCTCTCCTCTCCAATCCGGAGAGGTCAATCCAGAGAGCCGAGTCTGGGGTTTTCTTTGCAGAGAATTGAAAGGGCAGAGCCCAGGAAAGAAAGCTTTTATTGTGCAGCACTGGTAATCCTCTGGTTGTCTAAATGGAGCTCTGGACCCTTCCCTGACGTGGAAATAGATTTGCTGTAGAGGGCACTCACTGTGTAGTTTAGGATTTAACCTGTTTCTGAAAAAGGAACAGATGGCCTCCCAAAGCTTTGGTGGAGGCGCTCTGGACCAGAGGCAGGGCAGCTGGCTTTGCTCCTGCCCACCAGTCTTCCCTGGGCTCGTGCCTTCCCATCACTCTCCAGGCCTGTGTCCTTGTTGGTAAGGTGGAGGACTTCCGATAGATCATTTTCAGGGTTCCTGACGGCGCCACTGCTCTTAGATTCACAAGTGCAGCTTGTGATGGCGTTGTTAGGCTCTTTCTTGGCATGAAGGAAACTAGTACTTGGGCTTGTTGGATTCAGATTCACCTTTCCCTTGATTTGTGTGATTGTGAGGTTTTACCATATGTGAATAATTCAGAGCTAGAATGGCCCCGGGCAGAGGCACAGACCTCAGAGTGGGTGATTTTCTGGGGTGGTGGTGGGGGGGGAGGGGTGGGATGACAGATTGCTAAGGGAAGGGAGTTTTCTGTAATTCTTCCTGGTATGTTGAACCCATTTTATTTATGGTTATGCAGCTGTACATTTAGAGTGTGATCATTGGAAGAAACCTCTGTGGTTTCCAGGTGCACTTCCTTCACTGAGGAATCTGAGAGCTTGGGGCATTGGCCTGTTTGCCCAAGGTCACAGAGCCAGCAAGATGCAGAGTTGGGGTAGGAGCCCAGTGAATAGATTCTAGGTCCTGTGTTCCAGATATGTCTCTGAGAAGGATTATCCCGAGATGGGGCAGAGAAAAATGAGGAGGAAATAGAGGCAGAGAAGTTGGAGAAACAGACCAGAGAAGGTGGGAGCTGGAGACGGGACGCGTGGGAAAGCCAAGCTCTGAGCAGAATCAGCTGTGAGGTGGAGGGCATTTCTGCCGCCCTCGGAGTGGAATAAGGAGCGGCTTGGCTGAGGCCAGGGTGCAGAGGGGCCAGCTGAGAGTCCTGCCTGGGCCCGAGACGGACCTGGAGTCCCTGTGGTCTCTCCTGGTGACCCTCTGATTTCAGAGTATGCTGGAGGCTGCTTCGGAGGCCTGTGGCTGAGGACAAGCAGGATCTGGACATGTGGGAGGCAGCTATGCCAGCGGGATGCTGGCGAATGCTGAGGGGTCCCAGTTCTGCTGAAGCTCCCCCCAACCTTTAATGCAAAACTACAGCAAAGTTTTCCATGACATTTCTGTTTGATGAAAGCAGCATTTTCTCCTCTGTCGTTCATGGGTGCTTTGTACATTTTATGAGTTGGCGATTCATGGACTCCCTTTCCAGAGATGTCTGGAGATGACTGCTTTGCTGAATTGGAGCTCATTTTGGGGGAAGCCTCTGGCTTATGACCTGAGCTAAGCCTCATAATGTTTCAGTGGGCAATTCAATAGCTGTGAACAGTGGTTAAGCGGAGCATGAGCCATTCAAAGGCCAGGATAAAAGGTGATAAGACTTTGAAGTCTATAGCCCAAGCCCTGAGCTGGCAATGAATAGTACTTTTCTTTGGCCAATTTAGGAAGTGTCTTATGGATCCTTGGTTGCTCTTGCTTTTTGTCTGCGGTGGGCCCATTGTCTGTTCCTGTGTTTTGCTGCCTGTCTTCCTTTTCCATTGTTTCGCTCCTCTATCCATTTCTTTCTCTCTCCTCCCTTGTATGTTTCTCCTAGCTCCCCTGCCCGTCCTTTCTTTACTATTGATGATACAGCTTTGTAGTGTGTTTTAATGCGTTTATTGCACCATTAAAGTTTCACGTTCTCTGTTCTTAATTTAAAATCACCGTTCAGTCTTTTTGAATGTGTATGTGTTTTACACACAAAATAAGCAAGACAAACAAACCAAACCCAATTAAATTGCTTTTTATTTCCATGTGGTCTTTCATTGATTTTTCCCCCCTTTTCTTTTGTGGTCAGTAGTAGCTCTTCATAAAAAGACAAAATTTCCTAGGTCTCTGTCATGTGGTTATTGTTTTTACAACAAAACCAGCTACCATAATAGAAAAAGTTTCCACTCTTCTATTGTGAGCCACAAGGGACACCCTTTCCCAAGAGATGTGCCCTATTTTATGACTTCCTCCCTGGAAGGGGTGTCTTTAATATGTTCTCCAGCAGGAGCCGTGCTCTGAGGGGTGAGGATGCTTTTGGTGGAGATGGGGCTTTGGAGCAGGCTGTGGCCAAAAGAGTGTGCCTGGGAAGAATTTAGACTGATGGCTCCTCTTTGTTTCCCCAGGCTGAGCTAACCCAGGTGGCTGTAACAGCACCCAGACCTCTTTGGGAGAGAACGAGGTGCTTTCTAGTTAGTGCTGGGTTGGGACTGTGAGGCGTCTTGTGTTCACCCTGGAGGGTGGTGTGAAGTGCAGACGCTGTAATGGGTCTATGCTGGACAACCATTGTCATATATATTTTTTACAAGAAAACTTTTTTAAAGATTTATTTGAAAAGCAGAGTATTTTTTGCTGCCTGTCAAAAGAGGTAGAAGCAGAGAGAGAGAGAACGTGAGCAAGCGAGGTCTTCCATCCGCTGGTTCACTCCCCAAATGGCCACAGCAGCCTGAGCTGAGCTGATCCAAAGCCAGGAGTTAGGAGCTTCTTCCGGTCTCCCACGTGGGTGCAGGGGTCCAAGCACTTAGGCCATTTTCTGCTTATTCAAGCCACAGTAGAGAGCTGGATCAGAAGTGGAGCAGCCGGAACTAGAACGAGTGCCCGTATGGGATGCTGGCACTGTAGGCGGTGACTTTTGCCTGCTACACTACAGCGCCAGCCCTCATTGTCATATCTTTCAGACTCCGATTAATTACAGAGAAGGCTGAGTCTTGACGCGCAGGGGTCTACAAGTAGGTCGGTGTCTGAAGTGGGTCTCCCATGCAAGAAATCGCCGTGAAGACTCCAGTTTTTCTATTAAAAATTCACATGCATTTTGTATTCTTTCTAAAAACGTCTGTGCTGGTTTTAGTATAAAAGTATTTACACTAAACAGTAAGTGCTTTGCTGTTGAATACAATTGATGGTCCAGGAAAATATTGTTTATCTTGGGCCTTCCTTTCCCCTGGTCCTCCCCAAATGTGCACAGCAAGCCATATACTACAGCCGGAGAAGCCAGGGGGAGGGCAGGCGGCAGCCCTGCCTGGGGAGAACCCCTCCAGTCCTTCCTTCCTGCGGGCTCTGCGGGACCCAAGCATTCAGAGCGCTCACCGTCCCCAGAGGCGGGTCCAGCCAGCTGCTGTGCTCCTGTGTGCATTTCCCTGGCTGACTCCTGCTTCTTGCGTCTGAAAGAGCTGCCGCTTCCCCCGGAGTTCATCTTCTCCTTTTGCCATTGCTGCTCCCCTTGTCTTCCCCAGATTCCGAAAACTGGGAAGAGAAAGTCCCTGTTTCATCTTTCTTCTTCAGTTAGATTCTCATTTCTGCGAGTTAATATGTGCAGAGTTTTAATGCTGCAAGGAGTGTGGGAAGCCTGTGGCACCCCTCCTCATCCCGGGCATCCGTCCCCGGAGTCGTCACTGAACATGATTTTCTGTTGCTGCAATAAATGACTGCTACAGACTTAGTGGCTTCAGACAGCTCAAATTTGTTTTACATTTCCGTAGATTAGAGGTCTGAAAGGGGTCTCCCAGGGCAGAAATCATGGCGTTAGTGGGGCTGTAACCCTTTCTGGGGAGGCTGCTTCTTCCCTGCTCTCCGCAGTATGCAGAGGCCACCTTTGGCCTGAGCTTGGAGCCCCTGCACCGTCTTCAGACCTAGGAGTGGCTGCTTGAGTCCCTCTCCCACTGCCTCTCACAGGTCTTCTGCCGCTGTCACACCTTCACCTGACTCCCTCCTCTTCCTTCCTCTTCCACTTTTCTGTGTGATTACACTGGATCATCCACAGTTGTGTCTGTGTGTTAGACACTTGATCAGCCATCTTCATTCCCCTTTACCAGGTAACCTCCCAGGGTCAGACATCTGGGGTTAGGATGTGGACATTTTGAAGGTCTCCAGTAGTCACTTACAACCCTTTCAGTAGTTTTCTTCTGATATAAGCAACACATTTATAAGTTACGTTTAAAATGTTCTTCCCTGATGGTTCATTTTAGATTTACTTTTACTTTGTTTTTCAAACATATGAAAATAAATATTCACAAATAAATAGAGAGCAAGTGAGCGAGAGATCTTCCATCTGCTGATTCACTCCCCAAGCCTACAACAGCCAGGACTGGGCCAGGTTGAAGCCAGGAGCCTGGAACTCCATCCAGGTCTCCCATGTTGCTGGAAGGGTTCCAAGCACTTGAGCCATCATCTGCTGCCCCCCAGGGTGCTGCCAGGGTACATTAGTGGAAAGCTGGATTGGCAGTGGAGGGGCTGGGATTGGACTGGCACTTTGATATGGAAAGCAGTTGTCCCAAGCTGCAGCTTAACCTGCTGCGCCACAGTGTCTGCTCCAGATGTTATTTTTAGATGTTCTTTTTGTTATTGTTGTTAAAGATTTATTTATTCATTTGAAAGGCAGGAAGGCAGGGAGGGAGAAAGAGAGAGAGAGAGAGTTCATCTGCTGATTCACTCCCCAGATGGCTGCAGCAGCTGGGGCTGGGCCAGGCTGAAGCCATGTGCATGGAACTCCATCCAGGTCTCTCATGTGGGTGAAAGGGACCCAAGCCATCTTCCCCTGCTTTTCCAGGCACATTAGCAGGGAGCTGGATCAGAAGGGAAAGAGCCAGGACTTGAACTGGCACTCCTGGGATTCCAGCATTGCTGGCAACGGCTTAACCCGCTGTGCCACAGTGCCGGCAGCTGGCTGTTATTTCCTGATGTCCTTCTGTGGAGTAGAGGAGCCCTTGTCACACCTCACCCGGTTATTCCCTTCCGCTGTCCTGCCAGTATGGTTACATCTGGTTTTGGTTACACCGACGCTCAGTGTTTACATTCTATCGACTGTGTAAGTAGCGTTCATGGCCCAGCCATGTAGTGTACTATAGTGATGTTTCCCCTCTTGTGCGTTTGTTGACTTAAAATTGCCGTGTTTTTTCTATTTATGTTATCTTCAATGTACTCATTACTGATTCCCGATGTATACGGTAGGGATGTTTTAAAACATCTCTGTTTTATAGCACGTGTCCTTTTTACTTTAGTTGGCGGAGACTTCCCTGTCGGGCCTCCATCCCGCTCCAGAGGTGCTTGCCCAGTGACCTTTTGGCCTGCAGCATGACTCATCCTGGGAATCCCCTCACCTTATCCTGGGTTGGGTCCTCTGTTTCCTCTCTGGTTTATTCCTCTGCGGGTTTCTGAGAGTCTGTGCAAATGGTCCAGCTTGCACGTCTGAAGTGTTTCTCTATGCTTGAACTTGATTGGTGATTTGACTCATACAGACTTTTAGGTTGAAAGTCAATTTCCCTTCGAGGTTTGAAGGCATTGCTCTACTGTCTTCTAGGTTCCAGTATTAATGTCAGAAATTTGGATGCCATTCTGATTTCTTGTTGTCTGTAACCTGATTTCTCAGTGAAAGTTTTTAGGATCTTCTCTTTCCTTATGATTGAAATTCCTTGCTTTAGAAATTATTGGTCCTAGTCGGTAGTGTATGCTTTTAATCTGAAGACACATATTTCAGTTTTGGGACATCTTCATATATATATATATGTACTTAATAATTTTCTCCATTTTCTGTGTTTCACCTTTGGAACTCCTACTGGTTGGGTGTTGGGCCTCCTGGATTGAGCTTCTAATTTTAAAATCTTTTATTTCCTGTTTTCCATTAAATTCTGTTTTTGTTTTACTTTTTGAGAGATAGTTGCAGCTTTTTTATCTTTAATTCTGTTCAGTTTTTTAACTTCTGCTTTTGTGTTTTTACATGAGATGAACTTGCATGTTTTACTTTCTGAGAGCTCCCTAGTTCTCCGAATGTCCCCTTTTCTTTTTTAAATAACATCCTGTTCTTGTTTCATGAGTACAATAAAATCCTGTGTTTTCTTTTCTTTTCCCTTTTCTTTTCTCTTCTTTTTACTCTCCCCCCGTGGTTTTCTGCCATTCGCTCATCTGTCTTTCTTTCTGCTGATCCCCTTTCTGCTTCCTTTGGGGACTGCATTTCCCCGGGTCACCCTTCCAGCACACTGATCCTTGTCTGACCATCTAGATAGCAGTGGAAGCCACACTGCTGGTTGGGCGTCTGTGTGGTCGTAAGGGGCTTGTTCGCTTCCTTGTAGGGTGACCCGGCAGAGAACTACTTCTCCCACCCTTTTTTCCCCTCCCACTGGAGAAACCTGCATAATCAGTGCCTGTGGCTCTTTGCTCTGGGACTTTCCTGGAAAGGGTTTTCCTGGAGAGCATTTTGCCTGGGGGTGGGGTAAGGTGGGTAACAGCTTCGGTGTTCTGCACGGTGGGAATGTGAATAAGAGAGGGGCTGGCTGTTACCCTGCTTGTGTGCAGACTGCTAGGTGTGCTGAGCGTCCAGGTCTTTGGAAAGTTGCCCCTCTCCCCGCCCACCTCACTCAGCTCTGTCAGAATCCGAGTTTCTGGTGCAAGTTGGACTTGGACCTTTACCTTGTGCTGGCTGAGGGAGGAAACCACCAGGCTGAGCAGGGAGCCTGGGGCTGATGGCTCCTCAGACAGGCTTGTAGCAGGCTGTCTTTGTTTTCCCCCTATCCTGCTTCTACCCTTAGAGTCCCAGGGCCTCCAGCTCCCGAGCCTTCTCCAGGTTCTGTGCTGGGAGTTGGTGACTTACTTAGTAGTTTTTTGGCAGAGCAAACAGAACTGAAACCTAAGTCAGCTGCTGGGCATGGAGGTCTCCTCTCCCTCCCTGGAGTTCTGTTGACACAGCGTTGTCTGCTATTGTTTCCTTTCCTTGAAGAAACCAGTTCCTCTACTGGTCTTTCAGTGGGGTTCTGGGAGAGAGCAGAGGTAGGCACAGGTGTCCAGTCTGATGGAGTTTCTTTAATCTCTTTGTCCATGCCCTTAGGCTTGTGCCGGATGTAAGTCATAGATCAAGAAATGTTTGATTGAATGCATATTTGTTTTTAAGATGACACGCATGCAGTTGGTCACCAGATTTCAGTAGAGTCCCACACACGCAGTCTTACTATTGTGATAATGCCAGGCAGTGGATCCTACCCTACTTCCTGTGCAGTGTAGGCTGAGAGGCAGCACTGACTGCTGGGCTGGGGGTGGCAGGGCTGGGTGCTGGCTCCAGCCCTCTCGCTAGCTACCTGGGTCACCTTGAGAAGTTACGTAACCTCTCTGCATCTTGATATCCTCAACCTTAAAGTGAGGTGCGGGTGAATCCTGTACCTACTGTGTGCAAGGCACAGCGCTTCGATTCTTCCAGGTATCTTTAAGGGAGCCTGTGCTGTGACATGGGTCATGCTGAATTGATTGCACTTGGCTTCTATATTTCACACAGCTTAGTTCTGTGTCTTCTTCTGCTTCTTTTTTCTTTCTTTTTTTTTTTTTTTTTGAAGATTTATTTATTTATTTGAAAGTCAGAGTTACAGAAAGAGGGGGAAAGAGGGAGAGACAGGGAGATTTTTCTATCCTCTGGTTCACTCCCCAAATGGCTGTAACACCCAGGGCTGGGCCACACTGAAGCCAGGAGCCAGGAGCTTCATCCAGATCTCCCACATGGGTGCAGGAGCTCAAGCACGTGGGCTGTCCCTGCTGCTTACTTATCCCAGGCCGTTCAGCAGAGAGCTCGATTGGAAGTGGAGCCGCTGGGACTGGAACCAGTGTCCATATGGGATACTGGTGTTGCAGGTGGAGGTTTTACCCACTGTGCCACAATGCCAGCCCCCTTCAATATTTTGGACAAAGTCCTCTGCATGTATTACCTCTTACTGTTTCTAGACTGTAGGCTCCTGGTGAGGACGGCCTACCAGTCATCTTTGTAGCTCCTTTGTCTACCACGGGCCTACCACATGCAAGTGTTGGTAGTGTATTGTTCTGCACACTCCCTAGCCCACTTATGGAGCTGGGGTCTTGAGGGAACTGATGTTAAAGTCAGTGGGGAGAACGATTCTGTACCCCAGCCCTGACACTGAAGGACTCTGTGCCTCTAAGCACATCGCAGTCATGTATTTGTTTAATAGGCTCCATGCTGTTGTCACTTAAGAGTGTATTCATCGGACCAGCACTGTGGTGTAGTAGGTTAAGTCTCTGTTTGTGGTGCCAGAATCCCATATGGGTGCTGGTTTGTGCCCTGGGTGCTCTACCTCCAATCCAGCTCCCTGCTGATGGCCTGGGAAAGCAGTGGAAGATGACCCAAATGCTTGTGTTCCTGCACCCACGTGGGAGACCTGGAAGAAACTCCTGGCTCCTGGCTTCAGATTGGCCCAGCTCCAACTGTTATGGTTATTTAGGGAGTGAACCAGTGAGTGGAAGACCTCTCTCTTCCTCTCTACCTCTCTCTGTCTGCAATTCTACCTCTCAAATAAATAACTAAATCTTTAAAAAATGTATGCATCTTAACTATGGACATGAATTGCAGGCAGAACCCTGCAATTACAGTGTTTAAGAACATGCTAAGTGTTTTTTTTTTTTTAATAATGTATTTTGGTTTTCTCACACCTTTGTGCTTATGTGCCAGAACCAGTAGATTTAGGTAAGTGAAGTAGAACTTTTCATCGAGAGCTACTGGCACCAGGCTTCATTGGGAGCCCTGAACTCCTTGTTGAGCCAAGGCTGGACACCTACAGGCCAGGGAGCCTGAAGAATCAATGCCAGTGTAGGAGACGAAGTATATTAGAGCAGCTGAAAAGTCCCTGGCTTTTGATTTGCTCAACAACTAGGAACTGAGCACCCCCTATAGACCAGGGTCCGTGTGGGCCCTGGGAACAGACAAAAATGGCACCTGCCCTCCTGGGGTTTACAGAGCAGTGCTGAGCTGTGTCATGTGGTTGTGACTAACACATGTGCTTATTTACATTAATTAAAACGAAAAAATCCAGTTTCTTATCTTTGCCTCATTTCAAGTGTTCAGTGGCTGCGTGTGATCGGTGACTGCCCTATGAACAGTACAGATCTAGAACATTCCATCATTGCAGGTGGTTCTCTTAGGCAGGCTGGACTATGGAGCTGAGATTCTGTGTCAGGACCAGGTATCTTTCTAGCTTCACCACAGAGGCCACTGAGGCACAGCTGGGAACACACCTGTCTTGGAGTGTGGCTCCTGTCTCCCTGAAGTGAGCTAGGGGTGCAGAGTGACTAAGGGGGTGGTCTCTGTGCTCAGGTTGCCTGGGTTCAGATCTTACCTCTGCTACTTCCCGGCTTTGGGACCCAGGGCAAGCCACTGCCTCGTGCCTCAGTTGCCTCACCTGAGAAATGGAGAGAACAACAGTACCTCCTAGCTCATAGGATTGCAGGGAGGATGAGTGATCCAGTGGTACAGACCTTGAGAACTGTGCTGGCACATGGTAATCATACAGAATCACAGGTCACTGCTGTCAGACGAGAGGACACAGGAGGTACTGATGGAGCCAGTGCGCCATCTTCCAACAGGAGACTGGAGCGGAAGAAGAATGTTGGCAGGGAAGGCTGTTTGTGGAGTTGACTGACCACCTGCAGAAGGACACACGTGAACATTTCTAAGCCCAGGACTACTTCCATCACGTGTGCTTATGTATAAAAATGCCTGTGTGTGTGTGTGTGTGAGTGTATGTTGTGGCACAGCAGGGTAAGCCATCGCTTGTGTTGCCACATCCCATATCTGATTGCTGTGCTGCTGTGCTTCCAATTCAGCTCCCTGCTAATGCACCTGGGAAGGCAGTGGGTGATGGCCCACGAGCTTGGTTCCCTGCCCACGTGGGAGACCTGGATGGAATTATGGACCCCTGGCTTTGGCTTGGCCTCACCCCAGCTGTTGTAGGCTGTGAAGTGAAACAGTGGGTGGATGGAAGATCCCTCTTTCTGTGTCGCTCCCTCTCCTTTTCAAATAAATAGGTGAAACAAATCTTTTAAGAAAAATGCCAGCATTTCTCAGAGCCCTCTGTGTCTTGAAACTGGTTGTTAGGGCTTGGAACTGGGTCTTTCCACTGTCTCCTTCTTCCTGGTTTCCCCCTACCTGGGCTGGTCCCCAAACACCCTTGCTCCCCTCTCTACCTCAGAGAGTGGGGTCACGTTCAGTGCCCCCCCTCCCCCCAGCCTCCTCATGGAACTGAGGGATGCCCTGCAGGAGTGAACGAGAGAGAAAGGACAGAAGGCTGCGGTGATCCAGCACTTGGGTCCTGGTCTTGTCCTTGAGGGTTCAGTCTCCTGATGATGTCATCTTCTCGTGGCTCAGTCTCTCCAGCAGGCAGGTCAGTGGCAAGTAGCCCTGCCTTCCCAGAGGGGCTCTGTGTGGCTGGATGAGGAGAGAGAGCTCTGATGTTAGTCCCAGGGATGAGACGGGGAGGGGGCAGGGGATTCCCGGCTTGCATGTGGAACTTTAGCTTAAGGAAGCGCGTTAGTAGCCACAGTCTCATTTTGTTCATTAAACAAACGTTGGTGCAGGAGGTCGGTGTGGGCCCCGCCCCCTGGAGTTGATTTCCGCCCAGCACAGCAGGGGCAGGGCTCTTGTCAAGGGCCTTTCAGATCATAGAGCAGGAAGGCTTCAGTGTGACAAGGCGTGTGTGGGGAGGTACGTGCAGTGAGGACACCCTGCGGACACGTGATGGATGTGGCACCTTGCCACGCCTGAGTGAGGAACGCAGGGCAGGTAGAGGCTGGGCGTCTCGTCGAGGCAGACCCAGGGGCAGCCTGATTCTCATCGCCGTGTAGAAATACAGGTTTTCTCTGAGTCCTGGGGATCAGAAGTTTTGAGTACTTGAAGCTTTAACCTGTAACTGACGCTGCCAACCTCGTTCCCGCTCTGGCCTTGACTTTGGGTTATCATGGGTGACTCTCTGGTCGGTAGCATTTGTAAAAGGAAGGGGTGCTTAGTAGATTCCAGAATCGCCCCTGTGCCCCCCTGAGCCATTGCGGAGGCTCATGGCTCTGTTGTGCAAAGCCCGATGTTTTGATAATTAGCGTCAACCTGACGGCTGACCTTTGAGCTGGGTTTCCGAGAATGAAAGGTCATGAGGGCATGCCTCATGAAACCCAAACAATCTCTTGCTGCCTGGCGGCTGTGGCACCGGTAGCTGTGTACACGAGCGGTTTCCTTGTCCAGTGTCTGCGGGTTGCTTTTCTCCACCTCGAGTTTGTCTTTAGTCGGGGCAGAGCTGGTATGCGGTATCTGTGTCATGTGAGCACAGAATGGTGGTTAGGGCTTGGAGTTGCCTGTGCTGCACTGGCAGGGGGAATGGGGCCGTTTTCCTGGTAGGCTGATGTTAGGGAGTCATTGCAGGGCTGCTGGGACGTGGATCCTGCTGTGGCTTCTGTGCTCAGGCCTTTCTTCACGGGCAGCGCACCCAGGAGGCTGGCGCTAGGACACTGGGTAGGGCCTGGAAGCCAAGGATGACGTGAGACAGGCCGGAACTGGAGCAGGGAGATCTGAGTCGCCGCCCCAGTGGCCGGGGCAGTGGGAATCTGGGTGGAGCAGCCAGGGTAAGAGTGGGAACAGCTTTTAAGCTGGACAAAGTGAATAGAGGCTGTGGAGAAAGCAGACCCCCAACAGGAGCAGCAGTGGGAGTCGCTGGGGAAAGCCGAGGCTTGGGGGAGCCGAGAGCCACTGGAGGTGGCTGCCGAGCCCCAGACCTGTACCAAGGCAGCGTGAGGCCTTTTAGGGCGACTTGACGTTTGCTTCTCGGAACCTGTGTGTCAGACGTGGTGCATTGGCGAGTTGGCGTGGCAGGTGTGAGGGGGCGAGTCCCCCTAGGAACTGGGAAATCTTAGTCATGCCCGGGCACTGACAGAAGATACGATGCTGTTTCAGACAGCTGCTGCAGGAGGCTCAGCAGCCGCCAGCCCGCATTCCGGGCTACGGCCTTGGCTTTTTCTTTAATTATTAAAGCCAGGGGACGTTGAAATACTCACCTGAAGCATTGCTCTGATGGCTTTTCCTTCTCGGGGTCAGAGGGGCTCCAGCAGAGAAGACGTTTTGTGGCCTGTGGTTCTAAGATGCTCCTGGTGTCTCCCTCCTGGAACACAGGTGCTTGCCCGGGCAGCCAGGAAAGCCAGAAGAAACCCCAGGCAGCGGGGTGCAGACCTCCGTGGGCTGTCTTGCAGCGTGGTGTCTGCTCTGAGCACGTCCTTACCGAGAGGAGGATAGTGTGTTTGTTTTTATCGTAGGCCAGGCAGAAGCAGTGCTGTTAGAAGGCGTAAAATATTTAACACTCTTTAAAAAATTAAACTGCCCGGGAGACTTCCATCGGTGGTGCCCATGGCAACAGGCATCGTTCTCAAGAGTGCCTTCCTGGGGCTTGTGGGTGTCTCAGAAGGGACGGGATTGGGGCCTGGTCTTGGGAGGGCCGGATGGGAGGCTGAGCGCTCACCTGCTTTGCGTGGGCAGAGGCTGGGCTGAGCCACCCCTTCAGCAGTCCATAGTGGTAGTTGGGGTTGGGGTGGGTGGGGAGGTGGCCTATTTTGACAGGAGGAGAAGGAATAGAGGGAAGATAACTTACTGCCCCTTCGGGGTTTGTCCATTCCTTCTTTTTGTGGATTGACCTCTATTGTTCCTGGCACTTGCTTTCCCTGCTTCAGGGCTTTTCGCTTGTGTGGTTTCCCTATCCTGGAGTGCTCCTTCCTCCTCTGTCTGGACAGCTCTGTTGTCTCCTTCCATTGTCCCCTGGAGCATGGTGTTCTCGGGAAATGGAGCCGCCAGGCCAGGTTAAAGTCTGCACCATGCAGGCTATTGTGGCTGTGGGGTTCTGCGCAGAACCTCTGCCTAGCATTTGTCTCTGCCGCCTTGGCACACTTGCTGGGCATATCATTGTTTGCCTACCAGTCTGTTGGATCCCAGGGCTGCCTGGTCACTCTTGTGTCTTAAGTGCCTACCATGTACCTGGCCTGCAGGAGGCGCCACACCACCTGTTGGGTAAATTAATGCATTTATGAAGTTTGGGTTCTGTACAAGGGTTTGGGAATACAAAGAGAATAAAACATCCCCACTATCCTCAACGAAATCCTAAACTAGGGCAGTGGGTGAGCTCTCAAGACCCCCTTGGAGGTGCAGGAAGAAAACAGTCTTGCCTGAGTTTTGTTTGCTCTTTTACTAAAAGACATAGCTTTGCTATTTAAAGAGGGACACATTTCATAATTAGCTTGGAGGTTAATGTGCTCACAGCTGTTTCACTAATAGGAAAGTGCCATCAGGAAGTTTGGTGAAGGCCTCTCTGAAGGGAGAGGGAAGCAAATGAAAGGGCTTTTTATGCAAAAGTGTGCTGAGCACTATGTCAGGGCAAGTACAAGGCCAGAAGAGGGCATTCCTATTAGTACGCAGAGGCTGGCACGTGCAAAGGCACGGTGGCTTGGTGGGAAGAAGCCTCAGTGCGCTGGGAGAAGCGGCGAACACAGTAACAAGGCAGGGCTAGGGCTTGCTGGGTCCATACTACCAGGAGGGGGTGGGGACGACAGGAGGGAATACCAAATGGATAAGACTGGGCTCCTGCCTGCAGGGTGGGTGTGGTGTGTTAAGGGAGATGAGGGAGGAGAATTGCAAATGCCTTAGGAGAGACTCAGCAGAGAGGATACCTGGGGTTCAGAAGAGGTTGGATAGTTTGGTTGGGAGAGATCAGACCTTGTCATGCTTTAACAATCTACCATGGGTGGGGCTGGCATTTTGGTGCAGTGAGTTAAGCTGCCACCTGTGAGACTAAACAACCTGCTCCTGAATGAACCGTGGGTCACAGAAGAAATCAAAAGAGAAATCAAAAACTTTCTGGAAGCAAATGAAGATAACACAACATATCAAAACTTATGGGATACAGCAAAAGCAGTGTTAAGAGGAAAATTTATAGCAATAGGTGCCTCCATCAAGAAATTGGAAAAACACCAAATAAATGAACTATCAATGCATCTCAAGGATCTAGAAAAAATACAGCAAACCAAACCCAAAACTAGAAGCTGGCATCCCATATGAGCACCAGCTCATGTCCCTGCTGCTCTGCTTCCAATCCAGATCCCTGCTAATGTGCCTGGGAAGGCAATGGAGGATGGCTCAAGTGCTTGGGCCCCTGCACCCGTGTGGGAGACTCTGATGAAGTACGGATTCTGGCTTCTGCCTGGCCCAGCCCTGGCCATGTGGGTAGTAAACCAGTGGATGGAAGATTTTTCTGTCTTTCTCCTCTTCTTTTCTCTCTGTAACTCTACCTTTCAAAGAAACAAAGAAAGGTTAAAAAAATAGTCTAGCATGGACAAGGTTACACAAGGGGAAGGAGTTTGGCTTCACATTATGGCCTGTCTTGGGTTAAGACTTCTCCATGAAGTTCTTCTTTGTCTATTCCTGCCCAGTGGGATTCATTCTTTTCCTTCCTTCCTTCCTTCCTACCTTCCTTCCTTCCTTCCTTCCTTCCTTCCATTTTTATTTATTTGACAGAGTTAGACAGTGAGAGAGAGAGAAAGGTCTTCCTTCCGTTGGTTCACCCCACAAATGGCTGCTATGGCCAGAGCTACGCCAATCTGAAGCCAGGAGCCAGGTGCTTCCTCCTGTGGGAGGTGCTGCACCCCTGTGGGTGCAGGGGCCCAAGCACTTGGGCCATCCTCCACTGCCTTCCTGGGCCACAGCAGAGAGCTGGACTGGAAGAGGAGCAACTGGGACTAGTACCCGGCGCCCATATGGGATGCTAGTGCCTCAGGCGGAGGATTAACCAAGTGAGCCATGGCGCTGGCCCCCAGTGGGATTCTTAACATCACATGACTCAGGTCCTTCCTTGGGCTGTGTTTACCAGATCACAACATTGTATATGAACAAGAAAATGGCACATGGCTATGTGGGTAGGCACCCTCAGTGTGTTCACTTACCTGTGTAGTCATGCACACTCCTTTCCTAGCTTCTCTTGTTTTCAAGTCCCAGGGCTTGAAGTAATTATGTAATTAGAATCCACACTGAGTGTGGCTAGATAAGGTGTAATTAGAGAGGAAAGCCTAATTTTGGAAGAATGATAAGAGGTCATTTGACTCAGTCCGGGCCCAAATCCAATCTTGGGAGAACAGTAGGAGGTCATTTGGATGTAGGGAGCTTGAGGCCACCCAGGGGCCCAGATTGGCCTGAGAACTGGACAGATTCTGTTTCAGCTCACTGTGAAGGCCGTTCATTGAACGTCTTTTTGGTAGAGGGACTTGTCCTGGATCTGTGGATCTTAGGGAGGACCCGTCCTAGAGACCCGCGATGAGGTCCTAGAACAGAGGTGAAGACTCCTGGGTGAGCAGGGCGTTGGGGATGAAGTCACAGGGTAGGTGGCATAGCAGCCACGTCTCGAAGGGGAAGGAGGGCCTTGAGCGCATTGGCAGGAGCCCTGTGGGTACGTGAGAGGCTTTCACATAGTATCTGTGGAGCGAACGCCCGGCTGAGGTCGAGGTGGAAGGGACACAGATGTGTGGATGGTCCTGTGGCCAGCTCACTCAGCTCAGGCAGTACAGTGGCAACACAAGGCCAAAGGCCATGCAGCGGTGACCACGTGCACCGTGGACAGCGGAAGGTTCCTTGTAGAACGTGGCTTGGACAGAGCCTTGCAGGACCAGTGGAGAGGGGAGAATGCAGACGGGAGGACCATGCAAAGGAGGGGGGTGAACAGGTGCAGACCTAGAGAGGGAGGAGAGCCTTCACCTGGGAGAGGAGGCAAGGACACGGCGGGGAGGTGAGGGCCTCACTGGAATGAGTGGACTGGTTCCTGGGGGTTGGACAGAGAGGTTTGGTCCAGGGGCACCGAAGAGCCCTGGTGGGCTGCTGGACAGCAGAGTGGCATGAAGAAGGTGTGTTGAAGAAAGAGGAATGCGGCCTGGGGTGCAAGATGGGCTCCTGGGGAGTTCTGCTTCAGCTGCTGGGGCCTGAGCTGACGGGGACTGGGCAGTAGGCCTGGGAAGTGGTGTCCTGTGCCGGCCTTTATCGCTGCAGGTTCCTGGTCTTGATGAGAGGCTGGCAACCAAGGCAAGGGCATAGAGGGAGGAGGCTGCAGGGCTCTTGCCTGGGAGAACAGAGGGGCCCAGTTGGTGGGGAACGAGGCTGTGGATGGAGCCTTGGCGTGTCAGGAGCCCCCAGAGTCCTGTCCTGCCCCCATCCGTGGAGAGCCCTGGCACCAGCCCCTTCATCTGAGTTCCATTTCCTTGCCAGTGTGAGTCTCTGCCTGTAAGGTTCAGGGTCATTTCAGAGGAGCGGCAGGGTCTGGGCTGTGAGGTCGTCCCTGGAGGTGAGAGACAATGGGTGTGTGGATTATATATAGGCTTCTGCCGGTGTGAGGCCAGGCTGTGTTCTGGGGCAGAGCAGGGAAGGGGTTAATCTTCCTGCATTCACAGAAAGGAAGTCCTTAGTGTACCCCTCCCCCACCCCACTCCCTAGCCAGGGTTTGGGAAACTTAAGGCCTTGTATAAACTTCTGTGCCAAGAAGGCCTCCTGACAGAGGAGGACCTGGGCAGGGCCTTGCAGGGTGAATAGAGGGAGAGAAGGAAGGACTTTGCAGAGGAGAGAGTGATGCTGGGTTAGGTTACACAACTTGCAGTAGGGATTCCAGAAGGGAGGGGGTGCGTTCTGGAACTCTCTGGTGTGCACTGCTTCTGTACCAGGTGCTCCGTGAGCTTTGTCTCATAATCCTTACATCATTGTCGCCGCCATCATTGTTGTCCCACGTTTCAGATAAGGCAGAGCGATTCGAGAGAGGCCTGCTTGCCCAAGGTCTCCGTGGGGTGGGTTTGCCTTCTATTGAGGTCTCTGGCTCCGGTGTTAACAGTCACGCGTGTCACTGTATTTTGCTGGCTCTCCAGAGGAGATGGAAAAAAGGACAATGGTTTGTCTTTGTGACCCTTGTTTCCAAGTTGAACACTGACCTAAAATGTGGCTCCAGCTGCCATCCGTGCCACAGCATCCCAGCACATTGCCAAACCCAGGAGCTGCTGATGTGAGGCACTTAGAGCTCCCCAGGGTCTGAAACCCTGGTTTACAGATCAGGAAACCGAGGCCTGGGAGGGAGAAGGGCTATTCCAAGGTCAGGGGCAGAACGGGGTTGAGAACCAGAACAGTGTGGAGATGCTGGTCGTTGTGGCTGTTTTAAGACTCATTGTGCCCGGTTGCCCCTCTTCCAGGCCAGCTCTCTGCTGTGGCCAGGGAGTGCAGTGGAGGATGGCCCAAGTGCTTGGGCCCTGCACCCCATGGGAGACCAGGAGAAGCACCTGGCTCCTGCCATCGGATCAGCGCAGTGCGCCGGCCGCGGCGGCCATTGGAGGATGAACCAACGGCAAAAGGAAGACCTTTCTCTCTGTCTCTCTCTCTCACTGTCCACTCTGCCTGTCAAAAAAAAAAAAAAGACTCATTGTGGAAAAGTTTGTTTTTGGACAGACTTGTTTCTGGGCAGACTTGAGTCTGAAATGTCCCCTGCATCCATGTGCGTGTGTGTGTGTGTGTGTCCTTCACCTGAACCTCACACGCCTTTGAACCAACAGGAAGGATTCCTTCAGACCAGAGGTTAAGACCAAAGGCGTTTGACAGGTGGAAAGGGCATAGGAAGGAGGGGGAAGATCAGAAGGCACAGAAATAGAAGACTAAACTCTAGGCGTGGCCAAAAGGCTCTTCCCAGGCCTGTAAATCCTCGCTACCATTTACTGACTGCTCTCGGTGCCAGGCAGTCTTTGCCTGTCACTTTGTGTAACTTCCGTGGCCTTCCCATGGGGTAGGTGCTGTTTTATTGCTTCCATTTTGTGGATGAAGACACTGAGGCTCAATGCGTCTATGACTTCCAGAAAGCCACAGAATTAGGCTAGAGCCAGGGCTCCGACCCAGGCCCACTCAATGGAGAGCTCTGTCACTAATCCCTGAGTTCCAGGGGCCTGCGCGTAGAGGACGCATGGAGCAGCACATTTGGGGAGGCCACCCTTCCACCGTGGTTTGCAGCAAGGGGTGATTTTACCGCAAGGGGACATTTGGTAGTGTCTGGAGACCTTTTTGGTTGCCACAATTTAGAGGGTGTTATTGGGATTTAGTGGGCTGATACCAAGCATCCCCTAAATGTCTTACAGTGCACACAGCATAGTCCCCCCCACATCAGAGGGTTATCCCCTGTGAGCTTTTGACCCTACCCTTTGGGGACCTGGTTGTATTTGTAGCCCTCAGAGAGCAGGGTGGGGGAGGGTGAGGAAGGCCCATCTGAAGAACTGGAGCTGTTCCTGCAGCTCCAGAGACTTAGCTTGTCCTTTAATGGATATTTACAATTTGTATTCCTCCTACACTGAGCCCTGAGGGCTGCCGGGTGGTGGGTGGAGGCTGAGACAAAAAATTCCAACAAGGCCCAAAACCGAGGTGGCCCAGGGCTGCAGGTGAGAAGTGGGCGGGGTCAAGCCCCGTCCCTGGGAATTGATTGAGGTATTTCACTGTGTGTAATAGATATAAGAACTCAGAGCCAGCTGTTTGTGCTTTTGTCCCCTTTATTAAATTACTGCTGTGACTACGCACCATCGGAAATGTGTGCAAAAGAGGTGTTCCTGCTCTCCATACGCCGATACAAATGTGCTACCTGCCGAGCGCCCCTATTCCTAGTGACTGTTAGCCACTTCCAGTCGTCCTGTGCCTTTAAGGGAGGACTGCAGACAAATCAGGGGAAGCCCCTGGACCCTTGGCTTCTTCTGCAGAGCTTTTCCTAATGGCTTTACCCGAGGCAGCTGGTGGCTGACGGTGGTGGCTGGACGGGTCAGGTGGAACAGCCTGCACCTGGGGGCCACCTGAGCACAGCACACGCTGTCCTCCCCCTGCTGCCCTCCCCCTGCTGCCCTTCTGACTCCCTCTTCCAGTCTGATGTGGCAAAGGTGTGCTCTGTGCCCTGGTCAGCTCACCATGGTGGACTTGGCCTCCATATCAGTCTGCCCTGGTAGTGCTGGTTTGGAGCTGACTCTCCCTGACCACACACACACATGCTTAAGGCCCTGCGTTGACCCCACTGCTACTCCCTTCTCATCACCTGGGCCTCACCCTGGGCTGCGTTCACGGCCGGTCCAGCCAACCGTGTCACCTCCCTTCTCCAACGCCCCGAGCTCCGGTGACTCCTGTGGTAGTTTATCCAGCCATTCATGCTGAGTCTCTCCTGTCACTTTCTGACCCTGCCAGTGGCCTTGGATGAGTCATTTAACCTCAGAAGAAGCAGCGTAGCATTGAGTCTGGTGACTTCAATTCCCTTCCAGCATCAGTGTCAACAGTCACAGTTGTAGGACCTGTTTCTCTAAGGTCAGTGGAAATTCAGGTTTCCCTCCATAGAGAACCCAGAATGAGTTGTCAGTCAACTCTTCAGATTGAATGTTAGTCCCTTTACTTTTTTTTTTTTTTTTTTTAGATTTATTTATTTGACAGGCAGAGTTAGAGAGAGAGAGATAGATCTTCCATCCACTGATCCACTTCTGAATGGCCTTAATGGCTTGGGCTCTGCCAGGCCAAAGCCAGGAGCCAAGAACTTGCTCCAAGTCTCCAACGTGGGTGCAGGGGCCCCAAGCACTTGGGCCATCTTTTGCTGCTTCTCTAGGCACATTAGCAGGGAGCTTCCGGGACCCAAGCCAGCATCCACATGGGATGCTGCGCATCACAGGCAGCTGGTTAACCCACTATGCCACAACACCAGCCCCACCACTTTAATGTTAATTCCTTGCTCAGCAAATGTGGGTTGAGGGCCTCCTCTCTCCAAGCATGTGTGATCAGTTCAGCAGGGCAGTGAGCAAGGTCTTTGCTCTCAAGGTGCTCTCGGCTTTGTGTCCATTCACAGCCATAAAAGGTTGGCCGTCTGGACAGTTATCACAGTTGCTCATGCAGGTGTGCACGTACACACACACAAATTAGTGTTTGAGAAGTGAAATATTTAGTCTTATTTACCATGCACATGTTGTATAATATGTAGTTTGTTTTTTTGTTGAATGAATGTAGTAATTAATAATTTGTGTTTTAGAGGAAAGGTAGGATTTTTTTAAAGATTTATTTATTTGAAAAGCAGAGTAAGAGGGGGAAGAAGAGAGGGAAGGGGTGGGGAGAGAGAGAGAGAGAGAGAGAGAAAGAGATCGAAATCGAGATCTTTCATCTGTTGGTTCACTCCCCAAATGGCAGCAGCAGTCAGAGCTGGGCCAGGCTGAAGCCAGGAGCTAGGAGCTTCTTCAGAGTCTCCCACATGAGTGCAGGGACCTAAACACTTCAGCCATCTTCCATTGCTTTCCCAGGCCTAAACAGAGAGCTGGATTGGAAGAGGAGAAGCTGGGACATGAATTGGCGCCCATATGGGATGGTGGCATTGCACCACGGCTTAACCCATTGCGCAACAACACTGGCCCCAAGGGTAGGATAAATAAATGTTTATTTGGAAGTCAGAGAGACAGAGAGAGATTATTCCATGTGCTGGTTCACTTCCCAAATGACTGCAATGGCTGGGGCTGGGCCAGGGTGAAGCAAGGAGCCAAGAACTTCATCTGAGTCCTGCACATGGGTTGCAGGGTCTCAACTACTTGAGCCATCATCCATTGCCTGTCAGGCACCTCAGCAGGAAGCAGGATTGGAGGTAGAGTAGCAGGTACTCAAACCATGCACTTGGGGATATGGGATGCAACTATCCCAAGTGATGGCTTAACCTGCTGTGGCACAAATCTAGCCCCAAGAGTAGGATTTAGACCTGGGTAGATGGGAGAGAGGGGCACTATAGCCTGGTGGGGAATGTGGGTGAGATGTAGTCAGGAGGAGGAAATGTTCAGAGATAGCTCAGCCTGGGGCAGGCTGGTCACCTGCTTTCATTGTGATGGACCATGTGATAGGGCAGGTAGTGGGATGGTCTTGGATTTAAACTCCGCTGAAGGATTGAGTTTATCCTGTGTAGTCGATGATCTCCCATTCAGTTTCTCAGGGCTTTGCTGGTGTGGTGGTTAATAGTGCCCCTTTCCCTCCCAAGAGATGGACCATAAACCACATGGCCCGGCAAGTTTCAGGGCCGTGTGGAGCCCTGAAGGGCTTCCCGCTGGGTCACGGTCAGGTGGCTGCTGGAAGGCCAGTGCCCACCCTGTGTGGGGGGGCCTGGCGGCAGGAGGAGCTCCAGCATCCTCTGAAGGGAGGAGATGGTTCCCGACGCCGGGAGACGCCACGTGTGGACTCTCCAGTGGCTCCACGGCGGCCCTTCCAAGTTCAGCATCCTGGAGAAGCGTTTTGCAACTGGAAGTTATGACTGATAAGAAAAACTATTCACATGGTGCCCGTTTCCTGAGCAATGAAAAGTCGGAGAAGCTTCTGCCCAGCCTCCCAAAGGGCCTGGTGAAACCCGCTGGTATTCTCTTGCCTAAACCCCGTCATTGTTCCTTGGAATTTCAAATAGGTTATGAATGTGCTTGATGTCAGGAAAGATAAATCTGTGAGGAGGACTGGAGTCAATACATTTCCTTTTTAAGTAGAAACAATATGAAGGGCTTCCTTCAAGCCCGAATCAATCTCACTTTGTTGCCATGCTTGTGCAAAACCTGAGCTGCTTTATGTCTGTTTATATTCCCCCGACGTCCCCCGTCCTGGCCGGCCCCGCGTGGAGTCCCAGCCTTTTTAGGCCATGTACGGCTCGCTCCTCTCGGGGTGTTTTCTTGTACGCTGCAGTCAGGGTTGTGCTGTGAGTGGGGATTTCGTTTTATAGCCAAGTGGCCAAGTGCCCCCCAAGTGAGCTCTCTCTTTGTCTAGGAGAGTTGGAAGGCTCAAGTTTTTCTTTTTTTTCCCCCTCTTCCCTTTAGAAGATTATTCAGTGCAAACATGGTGCATCTGCACCTGCGGTTTGGAAGTGAGAAGTCTATGAAAGCATGGGCGTTAAGTTTTCAGTCTCACCCCTGATGTGTCCACTCTGCTCTCTCCTCCACCGGGCCCCTGCCAGTTTGCTCAGGACAGCTCCAGTTGACGTTCTTTGTGGCTTAGCGGATCAGTTAAATATTACCCACAGATCGGTAATCAATTCAGTTTGCTCCTGTGTGTCCTCCCAAGATTTCTCTGTACAAGTACATGCATAAGGGGAGAAGGTGACACGTTGCTTTTGTCACTTAGCAGTGCATCCTGGGAACTCCCTGTCAGTCCGCGTGGAGTGTTTGCATTTTGCTAACCTGTCTTGGGAGAGTGGTGTTTGCAGAGACTGGCAGGCAGCTGCCTTTGCCTTGATTTACCAATTTAGTAGCTACTTAGGGGTTGCTTCTGTTTACCTGAGAAGAAGTGAAAGGCTGTGGGAGATGAAGTCAGCCTTCTTTAGAAAGTCCAGTCCAGCAGCAAACTCATCCAGTAAGCATTTATTAGGCACCAGCTGTATGCCTAACATGGTTCTAGTCACTTTGGGTGAGCTGAGCCTTCCCTTCATTTCCACTTGTTTAAGTCCTTCAAAGTCCAGCTCGGATGCCTCACGCCTTCATGAAGGCTTCCCGGATTGACTGGTCAGGATTTTTTTGCATCCCCAGCCACCCACTGATTTGTCCATCGTCCATCTGTCTGTCCGTCTTTGCATCCATCCATCCATTCCAGCGAGTGTCCAAATACTTCCTCGTGCCAGGATCTGTGCTAGATGCTCTGTGTCCTCATGTTCCACGTCCATAGATTCAGCCAACCTGTGGATCGAAAATATTTGAAAACAACAACACCTGTGCTGAACATGTACAGACTTTTTCTTGTTATTGCTTGCTAACTGGTATAGTAACTCAGTTCTCTATATAGCATTTACATTGTACTTGGCCTTATAAGTAATCTCAGGATGATTTAAAGTAAGGAGCTTATATGTAGGTTCTGTGCAAACCCTGTGCCATCTTGTATGAGGGGCTGGAGCACCTGTAGGTTTTGGCATCAGTGAGTGGTCCTGGCGCCAGTCCCCCATGGATACTGAAGGCTGATTGTATATAAAGCTGAACAAGAGGATGAACTCTCTTCTCAAAGAGACAGAAACAGATAAGTGAACACATGGTAGCTGTGATGACAATCTTAAGCCCAGGCTGTTGAGGAAGCACAGAGCAAAGGGTGGCTGATCACTGTGGTACATGGGAGGGCCTGGGAGGCTTCTGGAAGGAGACTCCTCTAATGAGACTTGCCTTTTTTTTTTTTTTTTTAAGATTTATTTATTTGAATGTCAGAGAGTGATCTGTCCATCCATCCATCCATCCATCCATCCATCCATCCATCTGTATTTGCCATCTGCTGGTTCACTCTCCAAATGGGTACAACAGCCAGAACTGGGCCAGGTCAAGGCCAGGAGCCAAGAACTTCATCCAGGTCTCCCATATGGGTGGCAGGGACTAAAATATCTAAAATATCTGGGTGGCAGCATCATTTGCTGCTTCTCAGGTGCATTAGCAGGGAGCTGGATCAGAAGCAGGGGAGCCAGGACTCCAACTGGATGCTGTATGGGCATTGCATATGGCAGCTTATCCCACTCTGCCACAAGACTGGTTCCTTAAGCTTTCTTTGTACTTTTAGTGTATTTCCCTTATCTTCAAGTCATCTTCATCTCTGGCCACTTCCCCTGGACTAATGCTGTCTATTTAATAGCCACTCAAGTATTTATTGAGTAGGGGGAAAAGGTCAGATGAACCTAGCATTAAGGACATTAATGTCAAAAAGAGCAGGTGAGATATTCATTGCTGCTCTTGGCTTTCATGGTTAATCTAGGCAACTGATCTCCTCAAGGGCCCCTGTAAGTTATGTCTGCCCCTCCCTTCAGTCTCCCTGTGTTGGTGGCAAGCAGTCTCTATCCATGCTCCATCCATTAGCAGTAGTGTAACAGGAAACCCACCATCTGTGACACTGGAGCTGAATGAAACAGCTGTGTGAATGGGAACCCCAAGTCCCACCCTGTCTTTGGTCTTGGTTTCCCTCCTGGCAGGAGAGAGGCAGTTGTGATACCTTAGGATCCTCGCACTTCCGAGCATTTCAAAAACAATGATTTCAAGAATCTGGTGGCGCGTCCAGCTCCTTCTTTGAATAACTCTGGCTTCCTTTGCAGCTTCCTGGTGCCACAGGGACTTGTCAGTCCAGGAGAAGAAATGGCCAGAATGAAAAAAAAAAAAAAAGGTCAGGCCAGGGGGGCCAGTGCTGTGGTGCAGCGGGTTAACACCCTGGCCTGAAGTGCCAGCATCCCATATGGGTGTCGGTTCGAGACCCGGCTGCTCCACGTCCCATCCAGCTCTCTGCTATGGCCTAGGATAGCAGTGGAAGATGGCCCCTGCCACCTGTGTGGGAGACCCGGAGGAAGCTCCTGGCTCCTGGCTTCAGATCAGTGCAGCTCTGGCAGTTGCAGCCAACTGGGGAGTGAACCAGTGGATGGAAGACCTCTCTCTCTCTCTCTGTCTCTCTGTCTCTCTGTCTCTCTGTCTCTCTCTCTCTCTGCGCCTCTCCTCTCTGTGTCTAACTCTGACTTTCAAATAAATAAATAAATCTTAAAAAAAAAAAAAGAAAGAAATGGCCAGGCCAGGAAAATGACCCTTTCATAAAGTTGAGAAGGGCTACTGGGAGGGCAAGGTGGCCGTGGTGTGGCCGTGGGTCTCTGTGCTGTGGGATGCGGTGCACACTGCCTGAAGGTCGAGGAGATGACTCCTGCTGTGCAGCTGCAGAGGCAGCCTGGTGGTGGGTGGTGTGGGAGAGGCTTTTGGCCACATGTTAACAGAGGGCTTCCCTAAACTGTGCATACTCCCCTCGTGGTTGCTCTCATCTGTTCTTATTTCTGCAGGAGCTGGTCACGGGAAGCAGGGAGGTGGGATCGTGTTTTGCTGGTGCTTCCCAGGCCTGATGCTCAGAGTGTTGACTGTGCCTGGCGCTGCCCTGGGCACTGTAGATCCTTTTAAATTGGAGCATAAGAAACTCTTGCAGTGCGTGATAAAAGCACAACCATAACACATTCCTTAGGTTATGCAGGCTGTGTCCAGGTATTTTCATCTGCAAGGAACTGACCCCAAGTCGAGCTGTTCACAGGGAAATTCATTGTCTCTGAGACAGGGGTGGTTTTGTGGGGCTGCAAGGTGAGCCATGCCCTCTGGGTTGACAGTTTCAGTGGCTCAGCAGTGTCACCAAAGCGTTGAGTTCTTCCTGTTTCTGCTGTCCTTGGCGTTAGCTTCATTTGCAGCCTGCTGATATGGTGGCTGCAAACATCTCAGTCAGACCCCGCCTGCAGGGGGAGAAGATGGGTATGGACTGAGTCTGGCCCTCTCTCGCAGGAGTCAGGAAGCTTCCGGGGACACCTCCAGCACTCTTCCCATCATGCCTTCTTGCTGAATTGAGTCACGTGCCTTCCCCGAGCCAATGGCTGGACCAAGAGTACGCTTCCGGGAGAAGAGTGGCACCTGAACAAAATGGAGGCTCTGCCAGGAAGGAAGGGGGGGCAGCAAGCAGAGGCTGTGCGGTCACGGGGGCTCAGTGCACAGGTGGCTCCCAGCCCGCACTTGCAGAAACACGGCCATACATCACTGTGAGCCGGCAGGGTTGCTGGCGAGGTTATCTCTGCTGTGCAGATGGGGAAATGAGCCCAGGGAGGGCTGCTGACTTGTCTTAGATAACACGGGCGGAGGTTCTGGGGGTTGGGAGTGACGGGATCGAGTGTTTGAGAGGCCTTTTCTCGCCAGGGGAGCTGTCATTCTCTTGCTGTCCTGAGATGTCCCAGCAGCCCCGTCATCACTGAGTTCTGCTCCCCACAGTGGTTCACGGCAGGAGGCCTTCCCCCGAACACTTCCTATAGGAAGACTTCTCAGGGCGTGAGCAAGCTAGGTTGTCTCCTCCTACCCCACCAGGATGACTGTGGCTGAAAGCAGTTGGCATCACACTCCTGTCTTGTGGGGCAGGCTACCCGTGCCAGCCCCATGCCAGTCATTGTGCACACATTATCGGAAATCCTGGCAACAACCTCTTGAGTTAGGCTTGATGAGCCACCGTGTATGGATGGGGAAACTGAAGCCTGGGAAGGACAAGTTGACTGTTGGGGGTGGGGCTGCCCACTGAGGTCAGAGCTCCTGCTTTGCACTGTGCTGTGGCTTATCAGTGGCCACCAGCCTTGCTATGCCCCTGAAGGAAGGTGCGTATGGAAAGGGGCTTAGTGCAAATGAGTTCCGAAGCAGCTGAATGTTCCCTATGGGAATAATTCTCAAGACCTTGGGGAAAATATCCTAAACAGAAAAAATATGACTCAGGAAACCTGGTTTGTCATAGGTTGGCTAAAATGTGAGTAGGAAAACCTCTCAACAGTTTTGATGGTTGTTGGCTTTGAAAGGGGAAGGCTGCAGTGGAGAGGGCTGGGCTGGGGAGGTGAGTGAGTAGAGGGTGCAGAGTGCAGCAGGAAGGAGTGCCAGCAGGAGCCTGAACACCTCGCTGTGAGCCCCTCCCGCCATGTGACCTCCAGCAAGGTGCTTGGCCATTGGGGCAGCTTCTGCAAGTGTCCAGTGGGATCCAGGTTGCGGAGGGAGCAGAGAGGCAAAGGGGCGGAGCAAGCTTTGCCGGCTGTCCAGGGCTTGCAGAGGTGTGGCGTGTCTGGGCATAAGACTTGGCACCCAGTGTTCTAAGCTCTGGGCAGCCCTACCTGGCTGTGAGCTGTTCATTGCCCTGAGCGCAAGAGTGTGACGGAGCTGCCTGTGGGCAAATGTCTGGTTTTTACCTCTTCCCAAGGAGAAATCCCTCTCTAGAGCCCCTCTCTAGCCTGGAGGTTTGGAGTTCTTCCCTGGGCACCTGACCTGCCTCTGCCCCAGGAGCATTGTCTGGGAGCCCCACAGCCTTCACAGATGCCCATGGGGAGATAAAGTTGGTGGAGATAAGTGCCTTGTGCTCAGTGTGTGTGTGTGTGTGTGAGGTATTTAAGATTACACTCTCTTCTGTTCTTCCCACACACCTCCTGTTTATTGAACACTTTCTGAATATTGGTTGAGTGGCTTTTGCATGGCAAGCTGAGCTTAGCGCTGAGGTCTCAAAGACAACAATCGTTGCCCTCAAGGCATTGTCTAGCAGGTAAACAAGATGCTTACAAAGCCCTGTGATAAGTGCTAGTAGGTATGTACAGTGTCCTCTGGGAGAGCAAGGAGGGGACCCTTGGTGTGTTTGGTGGGAGGAGGTGTCACCTGAGCTGGGGCTAAGATGGGAGGGAAACGTGCCGGGTGGACCAGCCTCTTGGAGGGCATTCTATGCAGAGGGTGGGCAGAGCATGAAAACCTGCTGTGTGGCAGTGTGACACAGAGATGGATGGGACCCAGCCTGCCCTGCTGCTGCCCACACTCAGAGGTGAACAGGAAATGAGGTACAGGTGACCGTATGATAGGGCTGGACGGAGTTCGTGGCAACAGAGAGACCTGCTTAGCAGTCTTCCTCCTGGGGGACTGTGCAGGTTCTTTCATTCGTGAGGGCCCTGTTGAAGGAGCTGGCTTGCTGTCTGCTGCCCGATGTTGACCGTGCCCTTCAACAGTTTGGATGCTGCTGCAAGGCATCGATTTACCAGGTTTCTTCCTTGCACCCGTGTCCTCTGTGGCTGTAAGAAGATATCTGAGGCTGGGCACTTTATGAAGAGAAGAGGTTTATTTAGACCACAGTTCTGGGTTTGAGGGCATGGTGCCAGTGTTGTAGGCAGGCATACAGGATAAGATCGATCAGGCTTGTGAACTGGAAGGCCACTCCTGCACCACACCCCTGTGTGACCTCATGCCCCTACCTGACCACACCTGTGTGCCCACCGGCTGATCAGGCTAATTAACCACTCCCCTTTGGAAGTGGATTAAAGGCCTGGGACATGGTGGGCCCAGCCCTTTTTTTGGCCTTTTGCTGTTGTGGGCCACGCTGCCCTGTGCCTCCAGGGCGTGTGGCCTTCAGGCCACCCACCCCATGTTTCCTGGCCTGCATGCTCCTCCACGTGGCTGGCTCCTGGTGCTCAGTGTGAATCCAGATTTCCCTTTCTTTCTTAGATAGGGCCCTCACTCTCCTATGCATTTCTCCTACTGAATAAAAAGCTTAAAACTTATTGAGGCTGATGCTGTGGCGCAGCAGGTTAATGCCCTGGCTTGAAGCACCGACATCCCATATGGGCGCCAGTTCGAGTCCCAGCTGCTCCTCTTCTGATCCAGCTCTTTGCTATGGCCTGGGATAGCAGTGGAGGATGTCCCAAGTCCTTGGGCTCCTGCACCCACATGGGAGACTGGGAGGAGGCTCCTGGCTCCTAGTTTCAGATCAGCGCAGCTCCGGCCATTGCAGCTGTCTGGGGAGTGAACCAACAGATGGAAGACCTCTCTCTCTGTCTCTACCTCTCTCTGTAACTCTGTCTTTCAAATAAATAAAATAAATCTTAAAAAAAAACTTATGCTGCCTCATTCATTTATGCTGGTGTTCAGAATTCTCTGAATATTAGGCAAGAACCCACACAGGCTTATTAATATTGGGAATTTATTAATAAACACATGGTTGATATCATAATTGGCACCCCAATATTCTGATATCACCAGCATCTGCTTAGCTCTTGCCAGGAGGTGGGGGGAGCTTCCTGGCAGATGGCATCACCATGGCTAGAGTGGATGCAAAAGAGATCCTGTGGCAAGGTGGGAAGCAGGAGACTGTGGAGGATCCTGGCTCACTCTTTGTAACTGCTCACTCTTTGTAACCGTGGGAACTCACTCCTAGGAGAGCCTCATTCATGAGGGTGGAGCCCTCAGTCACCTAATTATCTCCAGGAGACCCCATCTCAACGTAGCTACATCTCAACGTAGGTACAATGGTCCATGAACCCTTGGGGAACACAGTCAGACCACAGTCAAACCTTAGCAGTTGGACTTAGGGAGTTGGAGTTGGGCAAGTCATTTATCTCTGTGGATCACCTGCCTCTCAGTGACCTGCTCTTTGAAATTCAGAGTTCATAACTTTCTCCCCATTCATGCAATGCAATCAGTCTCTTTAGGGGTGAGGCCTGGAGTTCTGCATTTAACGGGCACTCCAGGTGCCTCCTAGACATCTTCTAGAGTCTCAGAACTGAGGGGCTGCCCGATTTTAGCCTCCCATCCTTTCATCCCAAATCTCAGCCATGTGTTCAAGGAAACTGGAACGATGTTAGCTCTCTTGATGTTTTATCCTTGCAATGATATCCTTAGCAAGCTGGATCTTGCCAGTGTGTGCTTATGAGCTGTTCTGCAGGCTGGTTTTGATATTCTTTAAGGAGGAAAAACCTTGTTAACATGCACCCAAACGGGACCGTCAAAATCTGTGATCTGAATCGTTACAGCCAATACTCATCTCGGCTCCTCAGCACTGGCTTTGCACTGCTTGCCCGGCTCCATTTTCTGAGTCATTCTCGGCCTCCCGCGTTCTGGTGCGGTCATTCGTATTGTCTAACATCAGAGCCAAAGGTTGCAGCTTCTTTTTGATAAAAATGGAATCCCTGCTTTGGTTTCCACCTGCGCCCTTTTTGTAGTGCCCTCAGGAAAGGCTCCCAGTGTTTAAATGGCTGCTGAATATGTTCTTATTTTCTGGTATCATGTCTGGAAACACAGTTTTTAAAGTAAGTGGATAGGGGCTTTACATTTCTGCCTGGGAGTCTTCCCCAGTTTCTCACCCTTTCCCCTAAGAAGTCTCCTAATTGCCCCTGAGGTTGGTGACACTGAGAAGCCTTTGTCTAAGAAGCCCTCCCAGTCTGACTCCTAAGCAGTGGTTCTTAGCTGAGGGCTGGACCGGGAGTGGGCCATCATGAAGAAACCTTGACACCAGGTGTTTGTTGTAGGTCTTCAAAATTAAGAACTTTCGGGCCGGCGCCATGGCTCAATAGGCTAATCCTCCGCCTTGCGGCACCGGCACACCGGGTTCTAGTCCTGGTCGGGGCACCGGATTCTGTCCCGGTTGCTCCTCTTCCAGGCCAGCTCTCTGCTATGGCCCGGGAATGGGAGACCAGGAGAAGCACCTGGCTCCTGGCTTCTGATCAGCGCGATGCGCCGGCCGCAGCGGCCATTGGAGGGTGATCCAATGGCACAAGGAAGACCTTTCTCTCTGTCTGTCTCTCTCACTGTCCACTCTGCCTGTTAAATAAATAAATAAATAAAAATAAGAAACAAAATTAAGACCTTTCTTGATCTTGGTATGGTTTTGCTTTTTGGAATGAATCTGTAGACACAGAATTCTACTCTGGTAAATTCTGATGAGCCCTTCAGCATTACTCAGGCGGAGGAAAGCCAAAGCTGTCCTTAAACCATGAAGGTGTAGGTGGAAGTGTGCACCCAAGAGCGCAGGGCTGAGCATGAGTCTTGCCTGTATTCCCTGAGCATCTCATACAGGCCTCTGCCCACAGTGGGTACTCAGTAAGTAGTTGCCTGAATAATGGATTAAAAAAAAATAAACTAGAAATTATACTAGTGGAAGAGTGGAATTCAAAAAGTGGATCATTGTGGTTTTGAATTTGCCCTTGGTTCTTCCTCAAGTTTAATTTTCATGGAAATATCAATTAGATGCAGGATTAGTGCAGTGCAGAATGGCAGAGAAGGGAAAAGGCAGACGTTGTATGCATTTTAAGTATTTTGGGACATCTGTTGGTTGTTTGTAATTTGCCAGTCACTTCGTTAGAGAATCCTAGAGATTAAACCACAAACCTTTTCATTTTGTGCCTGGGGAAACTGAGGCACAGAAGTGCAGTATTGGTATACAGTTATGCAGTGAAGCTATTAGCCAAGGCCCAGGGAGGGTTCACAGAGCACCTCCCCACTACTGGCATATGCATGATGCAAATTCAGCTTTGCAAAGATGGTGCAGGTGATGGGGAGCCTTGGGGTGGATAGATGCTTTGTGACATTTCTGCTCCTTGACTGTTCAGCCTCTGCTTGTGTCTCTACAAGGACAGGGAGCTCACTATTCACAGAAGCTAAAATCAACTTAGGATTTTATGCTTTAGATCCTGTATCATTATTTTTACACACTGCGATTCATCTGTCTGTTGAGCACTGACCATGTTTTAGGTTCAGGAGAAATAAGCATAAACTAAATCGTCAAAGTTCCTGCCCTCTTGGAATGTAGAGTCTGGTGTACATGCAGTGGAAAGAAGAGTGGACTATAGAAGCCCTGAACATAAGCCAAAGAAGTTTATAGACAGGAAGAAAGAAATAAAGAAAAACAAAAGGACGTGAGAGAAAGAAATGAAGATTTCGTACCACTTATAGCCTGTACAAGCTCGGATAAGATGCTCGAGTATCTGTTCTCACTGCATTTTACAGCACACATTATCCCACTGGATTGTCCAGAGCAGTGAGAGTTCGCTGGGACAGTGTACCTTGCAAAACATTCATTGTTAATTACTAAGAGTACTTGCAGCTTTGCTTCTAGAGAGTAGTTCTTAAAGCTTGGTTCCTGGGCCAAAAGCATCAGCATCACCCAGGAGCTCGGTAGAAGGGCAAATTCTCCAGCCCCACATCAGCTCTGCTGACTCAGACACTTGGGGGTGAGGGAAGCAGAGGAACGGGCAAGACTCTGCCTTACAAATGCTCCAAGTGAATTTGATGCCTGCCCTTTGGACTAGAACAGCAATTCTTGTCTTCCCCCTGCCCGGTCCCCCTTTATAAGATTTATTTATATATTTGAAAGGTGGAATCATAGGAAGAGACAAAGAGAGATATCTTCCATCTGCTGTTTCACTCCCCAAATGGCCACAATACCTGGGGCTGGTTCAGGTCAAAGCCAGGAGCCAAGAGCTGCTTCTAAGTCTCCCATGTGGGTGCAGGGACCCAAGCACTTGGGCCAACTCTGCTGCTTTCCCAGGCATTAGCAGGGAGCTGGATTGGAAGTGGAGCAGCTAGAACTTGAACTGGTGCCCATATGGGATGTCGACGTTGCGGATGACAGCTTGACGAACTACGCCCCAACACCGATCCTGGTAGTTCTCATCCTTGACTGCACATTGAATTCACCCAAGAGGGAGGCTTTCAGAATTGGTTGCTGTCGGGATCTGGGGGCTGATTTGCACCTCAGCCAGGTCTGAGAGTGCTGCTCTGGCGACAGGGTCCATCCTGGAGGTTCCGGGGGTTGTGAGGCTGAGGAGCACAGATGCTAGAGGTACCTGGTTTGGTTTGAGTCCAGGCCCTGCCCCTTCCTGGCTTTGGCAACAGGACTCTGGCTGGACTGGACTGGGGCTGGACTGGGTGGTGATAGATAAGGGGCATCTGAAGGTGACGGTGCTCATCTTTCCTCTCAGCCCTCCTTTGTCCACACGAAGCTCTTCCTTCTGGGATGTAACTTCCAGCCCCTTCTTTGGAAATCCCCATTTAGCTCATCAGTTTGATAACATCTGTCATGACTGCAAATGCAAAGTAGACTTTCCATGTAATTGAGAACTGTGAAGCCACAGGAAGGAGAGAAGCAGCTCCTCAAGTAGTGGCAGGAAGCTCTGTGATGTATTTTTTAAGTGAATAAGTAGAGTGTGGAGCTGAATGTGTTGTGCTACTATTGCACAATGCAGGGAGAAGGATGACCCTTATTTGTTTATATATGCATGCAGTATCTCCAGAAGGGTACACAAGAAGCAAGCTGTATTGGTCGCCTCTGAGCTGGGGACTAGGTAGCTGCAGTAGCTCCTGAAATAGGACCTTTCCGCTGTGAGCAGTCGTGTGCCTTTTAAATCATGTGGTTGGAATCCATTTTAAAACAAAGTGCTTCCTAAGCTGAATCTTCCACGTGATCTGCCACGGCAGGGTGCCATGGGAGTGTTAGCGTCTTTTCCACGAACTGGGCACTGTCCCTGCTTGTGATGCTGTGGAGGGTTGCATTGCCATTGGCGCTGTGAGCTCCAGTGAATTGTGGTCAGTGACAGGCAGCACCTGGCTCTGTTGCAGGTGAGTGGTTGCCAGGCAGGTCTTGCAGACTCAAGGAAGTTTAGCACTGCCCCCAACCTGGACTTGCACAGTCGGCTTTGTTTTTGGCCCATAATGCTCAGCTGTCAGGAACGTTCGAATCTGGATTCTGTCATCTGTGGCATTAGCTCTTCTTCCCAGTTTTGTGCCATCTGAGAGTTTGATAAGCCTGTCTCTTGTGTCTCTTGTTAGTACAATCATTGTTAAAAGGACATTGTTAAAAGGACAGGGCGTGGCGAAGAATTGGATCTTGTGTTCGTGCTACCAGTTACCTTTCTCTTGCTTGTTATCAAGCCATTAACGGTGCCAGCGTGGTGCGTTTACTCACCAGACGTTTGTTGTGTGCCTGATAGGCGTTTGTGCCAGGCACTGTGCTAGGGCTGAGGGTGCACAGGGTAATAAGATGACCTTCCTGCTTGGAAAGAGGTCATCAGGTACTAAGGAGGTGGACAACCTTTCCTCTGAAGGCTAGATGGTAAATATGTATAGCCTTGTGCCCATACACTGTCCGTTGTAAATCATCAGCTGTTGTAAATCAGAGTTATGGAGTGGGTGGGGGGAGAGAATATCTTCCATCTGCTGATTCACTCCCCAAATGACCGCAACGGCCAGAGCTGGGCTGATCCGAAGCCAGGAGCCAGGAGCTTCTTCCAGGTCTCCCATGCGAGTGCAGGGGCCCAACCCAAGGACTTGGATCAACTTCTACTGCTTTCCCAGGCCACAGCAGAGAGCTGGATCAAAAGTGGAGCAACCGGGACTCGAACCAGTGCCTGCATGGGATGATGGGACTGCAGGTGGGGATCTTATCCACTATGCTATGGTGCCAGCCTCTGAGAGCAGTTCTGAGACTTTTATAATCAGTTAAATATGGATGAAAAAATTATATGTTGTTTAAAGAAGAATTGGAACTGCATCAAAACGTGGAAGGATGGCAAAAACAAATCAGTCATGCTCCCGCTCCAGCTCCATTCCTCTTAGCAATTTGGTGTTGCTTCTGCCAACAATGTGAAAAATAATCAAAGCCTATCGTCAGAATGGTCTGGAAGGGCTATGGGTTTATAGAGAGCCTGATGAGAAAGCTAACTGGTAAAGCTTTGGAGGGTGTTCTGAGGGTAGTGGAGGCAGAGAGGAGACAGGTCTACCTCAGCTGCACAAGAGATGGCTGAGAAAGGCTCCACAGAGCAGGGGGCCCTTGAGAATCAAGCAGAAATAGGGTTGGGAGGAATAGGAAGCAGAATTGTACCTAAGCTATGGCTACAACCATGTGCTCAGTGTATATGAAAAAACACTGCAAGAAAATGTCTCAGAATAGCACCATGGAAGGACTGTTAGTGGACGTGGTTTTATTTTTGCTGGTTTTCCAAATGGGTTTCTCACTTTTTAATAATTTTTCTTTATGCCAC